CAAATCCCCTCTTGATTTGATAGTCATTTGGATTCGTAATTTTCCAACATTTTTAAACAATGCTGCAATGAACATTATTGAACCTATATCCTTGCCCAGTTATTTCCTTTGGGTAAATTTGCACAATCACTGGGTCAAAAGTTGCTGTCGCTTGACATTCCAGCAGCAGGGAGGGGGCTTATCACTGAAGCAGGAAGTCCTAAGTCCTACCATTCTGATGGCCAAACTTCAGGCCAAAGCCGTGAGGACAGCAGTGGCTGCAGCTCCAGCTCATGTCACCCGGGGCCGCTTCCAATCCACCCCCACTGTTCCTCCCCGACCCGAGGTCCCAAGCATGAAACAATTTTTGGTTTTGTTTTTGTTTTTAAACAGAAAGTGCCTGCTGCTTTCTGGAGGGTGAGAAAGGCAGATTCTGGGTACAGGCCTTATGCAAGTTTAGGGAACACAGCTGGCATCAGAATCAAACGCTTTTTCAAACCACCCCCACCTAAGCAGTGAGGGAAAGAGCTTGAGCGTTGACAATTAACGGCTTTCCCTCCCTGGGGAAGGGCAGACTGAAAAAGTCCGCTTCTGACAACTCAGAGCCAGAAAGGCTGTCCATGGGTAACTAGCTCTGGTCGTGGCCTTCCTCCCCTTCCTTCTTCTCTTTGACCACTTTTTGGATCTAGAACAGTCCGCCTTCCAGGCAAGCAAGGGAGACCATGAAAACACCACACATCATGGTCAAAAGTGGGTAACTGCCATGGAAATATTTCAATCTTGATTACAATGCTTTAGAAATCCTCTGCGCCGCATCTTATTTGAACACTTAGAAACAAGCTAGTTCTATAAAACACGTACTGTAAAAGTATATTAGCACATTTACTTCTTTGGCAGGTTGTTACACATTGAATGACACATTTCTCTGACTCCTCTCCTCTCCTCTATCCATGGCTCACCATACCCCCCAGGACGCTGGGCCCTCCCTTGCAGGGGCTCAGTCAGGCCAGGCTTTCCTCAGCTTAGCACTGGCTGTTCCCTCTGGCTGGAACGCTTGTCCCCCACATGGCCCTGAGGTGCAAGGGAAGCCTTTCAAACCCACTACGTGTAACGCTGCATCCTCCTGGCTCCCAAACACCCACACTGCTAGCCCCTCCTGGCCATGGTTCTCTCCTTAGGGCACATCACCACGTAACCTAGTGTGTCCTTTAATTATAATTCTCTGCCCATTCTCTGCCCTGCTCTCTCCCCTTCATGGTTCTCAGCACACAATTGGTGCTCAATACTCAATGATTAAAGCTTACTAAACCACACATCTGTGAGAAAATACATTTATTTTCTTAATTTGAAATATCAGGCTTCTATCCAAGGGCTTCTCTGGTTAAAAGGTTACTCCTGTCACCAGTTTGAAAGGACTAGCCCTCTGATATAAATCAGAGTGCAAAGGGAATATGACATTGTTTAAACAATGGCAGAGGCAAACCAAGGTCGCAGGAAGGGGCAGATTTCCAACTGACAACATGCAAGGTGGCTGGCATCCAGAAGTCTTTTTTGGTAGTCTCCAAGTTAAAGAACCGAGACAAGGGATAGGATCCTAAGGTGTATCAGACCTGCACCCCAGCCTACCCCAGACTGCAATTATGCCATGTTCTGAGGGAGGGAGCAGCTATCACAAACCTGATCACCACCATGCTTTAATCACAGTCAAGGTCAGGAGGGCTACTGGCCACTCCAGGTCAGAATTAAAAAGCAAAGGGAAAAGAAATGCAGAAGCAAAAGACCCTCCTCTAGAGGCTCCGAAATTACAGCCAATCCATCCTCATTATTTGCAGATTCCATACTCACTAAAATGTATGTGTAATTCCAAAATCAATAGTCCCGGAGCTTCTCCAGTCCCTCACGGACAGGCAGAGAGTGGCCAAAATGTGAATTGCCCCACGCACATGTTACCAGTGAAGCGGAACAAAGAGACATGCTCTGCCTTGTTTCAGCTCTGGTGCTGTAAACAAGTGTCCTTTCACGGGCCAGCTAGTGCCACACTTTTTGCAGTTTTGCTTTGTGCTGGGGAGTCGGCTGTTGGAGGCGGCCCCCAAGCCCAGGGCTGAAGGGCTGGCCAACATTACTGAGCCCAGGAAGGCTGGGATGGGCCTTACAGAGAATGGACCATGGTACCGAGGCAAGCTTGGCTCGGGCCTGAGCCACAGGCTGCTGGCCTGTGAGTCCAATATTAACGAGTCAAGGACGTCTATGAAAGAAACTGGCTCTGAACAGAAACACGCATAAAACAAGGTACCAGATAGCTCAGCAGATGAAAGTAGTATGACCAGAGGCCCAGAGGAAGATGTAATATAAGGCCTAGCAATGGCTCCGTCTTCCCTACTTCAATGCTCACAGGGACTTTACAGAAAACTGTCACCACGAATAACGAGAGAAACAAGCCGATATTAAAATGGCTGTTTCCTGTCCCACATCTTTTGGCACACTCCCCTCCGCCACCCCCACGGCTCACTCCATCTGCTCCTCTTTGCACGGGGACTCTCCCGCTCGCTCGCTCACACAGCGGGCCTCTGCTCAGGTGTCTTCCAGTGACCCCGCCCCCAGAACCCCTGTCACCTCACTCTTCGGCTGCAGTGATGACAACCAGCAATTATTATCTACCTTGCCCTCAACTAAAATCATAACTCCCTGAGGGCAGGCCTTTGTCTTATTCACCCATGGACCCGCACTGGCCGACCCAGTGCCCAGCCCAAGGTGGGTGCCCGGAGCTTGACGGCAGGGACACGGCCCACCTCAGAGCTTGGGCAGTGTGACGAGCGTCGGGGCACTGGCGCTGAGGGTGAAAGGCACTGCTCCTGAGTCTGACAGGAAACATATACTAGACCGGAAGCTACATGTGGCTATTCAGCACACAAACGTGGCTGGTCCAAGTTGAGATGTGCTCTAAGCGTAAAATATGACAAGAATTTGAAGACTTAAAAAAATATATATACACACACACGCGTAAAACATCTAATTTACTACTTGTATATTCATTTTATGTTGAAATTATATTATGTTGGGTGTTCAGGGCTAAACAAATAGATTAAAATTAATTTCAGCTATTTCTTTTTTACTTTTTAAGGTAGCCACAAGGGAAGTTTTCATGACTTAGGTAGCTTGTGTCATACCTCTGTGAATCCACCTTGGTTATAATAATACCAAGAAAAGGTCAGCCAGCAACACAAGCCGGCTTTGACTACCTCTCTGCAGAGCCTAGTGCTCTCCAGAGCAAGGCTGGAAACACCTGTCCTGCAGCTTCCTGTCACACACAGGCTTAAGTGTATTCAGAAAAAGGATTGTGAAATTAGAGCTAAAAGTTTATCAGGTGAACCAATTTTAGACTCAAAAGGTAAGCACCCTGTGGAGCCTTCTTGTTCATGCCTCCCCCACCAAAAGCCTATTTCTGAATCGTCTATGCAGAGTTGGAATGGCAAAACGTGAGCTAGAAGGGAGCTAGAAGGGATTTGGAAAGTTGACCCGGCCCTGGCACATCACTGAACCCTGAGACCATGTACCTCCAACAGCCTCACCTCATCTGGAGAAGAAGCAGAGCCCACTTTCCAGAACTGTGCTCTCCAGAACTTTCTACAATGACAGAACTGTTTTCTGTTCTGTCCAATATGGTGGCTACTAGGCTCTTGAAATGTGACTACTGAATTTCTCATCTTATTTCAATTAATTTAAAGGTAAAGAGCGACACATGGCCAATGGCTGCCATATTGGACAGCACAGTTCTAGGCTCCCATGACAGGAGATAAAGCTTGTAAAAATCACTTTGTAACTCCAAAGCCCTAGAGAAATGGCAGGGGTTCTGTTGTTTAATGTATTAGAAATACGAGATTCTGAGAGATTTCAAATGTCCCAAGAGACTCAATCCACTAGAAGTCCAAAAAAAATCTTTTAAATAAATATGCAGGTTTTACTTCACCTGGGGGAGAAGGTCGGCCAGTGTTCGTGGATACATACAATCAGAATAGAAGGGTGAGCGATAACCTTCACACACAACTCAGAAAACATGCTTTCAATCCTTTTTTTTTTTTCCCCACACTCAGGTTCAGTGCCTCCAGGGCCTAGCCATGCAGTCAGAAATCAAGGCTGCCAGTGTCCTCCGCACAGATTATTCTTATCTCCCACACCCTCATTCTTAGGGACCAGATGTTTCCTGCCCTATTTGGTGACCTTCCCTACTACTTCTCCTGCTACAGAAACAGGTCCTCCCAACTGCTCCCTGCAGTCCTACGGTTCTCTGAGTCATTCACCGGCTCTCAGACCCATGCGGGGCTTGTTAAGATTCACTGACGGATGGTAAAAACCACCCCCACTAAAAAAGGATGGGGACTAATTGGTAGCTGCAAAGAATGCTCATCTGTTTACACTCACGTTGGAAGATGCTCATGAAATTCAAATCAAGTTCTAGTCTCAAGTGCCTCTCCCCAGCAGGAAAGCCCTTCCAGTCTAAACAGCTTTCTGCTACCATTAAGATCATTACATTCCACACGCAAATAGACAATAAGGAAATGAGCAGGCAAGTGGAAGGAGGGTGAATTTTTAGGACAGAAAGTCAAAAACTGTAGAAGTCCAAGGAAATACTCAATGTTTCCAAATACAAATGTAAGGAGCCACCCTAAGATACTAGAGAGCTTTTGTAAACTCCATTCTTCTCCATTACAGAGCGCAGCTAATTCTCCCCTCAATCCTTCCAAGCTCTTCCGCAGACGCGTGAACTTTAGTGCTCCATACAGCCCTTGATTTTGGCCCCACCAAGCTCCCATGATGAAAAACATGTGAAATAGGATCCACATGTGTTCCACCCACACGCTGGGCTCAGCAGCATATTTCATTCCGTCAGAGAGCGGGCTGTTGCTCAACTCCATGGAGGGGACGCCAGCAGCCATCCTCCAGCTATTAAAACAAGATCAAGCCGCCTGGTGTCAGCAGGACTGACACCACCTCACCAAAAACAGGGACCCAGCCTCCGGTACCTCAAGTTCAGTCTCCCGTCTGTTGATGTCATCTGTGGATTGATTTAACTTCTCCAGTTCTCCCTAGTGAAGAAAAGAGAGGGAAGAAAGATTTAAGGGATTCATCTTTTGTTTCCAATAGGACTGAGCTCACTCTCTGCAGAAGTACTCCAGCACAATTTGTAGGAAGAGGGATGAGTCACTATTCTCAAGGACAACAGTTGAGCCCTGGCTTGAAGAGCAAATGAACGTTGGTTATTTCTGAAATCTTTTTCTTGATGTTGATGGTGTCTCTTTCAAAAATGCCGTAAGGTCCCAGAAATTTTTGTCTTAGAAAGTGAAGTACTTATTGCAGGTATGTGACTTCGGGTAAACCCACCTGTTACAAACGGTTTAGGAGTCAAATTAAAACAGTATCTCCTGCCTCCAAGCAAGAACTTTGCAGAAACGACAATAAAAGAAAATAAACAAGACCAAGCTGAAACTATAAACCCAAGTGAAATTATTTAAATCAAGGGCAGAATTCTGACATTAACTCCTTCGTGGTTGAGTTATTTTTCTAGAAATGAAAATCTTTTCAAACTGCCAATTAAAACTACCTGTTTTAACAAAAACTAGCTTTAATCTTGATCCTTTAAATAAACATTTAAAAACTGACATTTTGTAGAAAGTACCCAGTGAGAAGTTAACTCATTTTACTCTCCAAACAAAGGATCTGGTAAACAGAATTCCCGTACCAGGAAAACAAGATTTAGTAGTCTGAAGTAGTGATTTTAATTAATAGAATTCCTAATGCAAAGATTTTTCCACCTGATCTTTATCTTGCTAATCTGCCAAAACAATTCATTTAAATGGCAACAGCTGAGTTAAAATGGGCTTTTAATTGATCTGCGCACTGAAAAACCAATTAGGGCTCTAGAAATTGCAGAGCACGATTAAAAGCAATGTGTGTATACATATATATAGATATATAAATGATTTATGGAAAGGGTAGAAAAACGGGTCTCGGAAAGGGATTTGCTGTGCTTTTTGCCTAGAGGGTGAGGAGGTTAAGCTGTCACTCCTAGATCTTGGCTTAGAAATTGTTTTTTAATCATCTCTCTCAGAAATGGAGGCACAGAAAGCCAGGCCAATCCCCTCGCCTTCTCCCCGCGTGAGCTTTGCGCATCAGTTGTCCCCGGTTTCTGTTCACACCCCGACCTCCTAACAAGGAAAAGCTGGGTTTTCGACCATTAGAAGCCAAGCGGAGGTTTGAGCCAGTGGCGACAATAAGCCCTTCGCTAACAATGAATCAGACCAGGAGGAAGATGGATGGCTCAGGCGAGCACCTCCGCCAGGTGAGGGCTCGCAATCCCGGCACGGGTGCCAGCCCACGCTGCAGGGGCGAACAACGCCCACAGTGCCCAGCGCCCACGCGGCCCGGTAGACCCCGCCGCCCCTAGCCCGGAGGCCGCGGGATGCCCGCTGCGCCGCGAGTCTGGCGGGGGGGACCCCGCCACACGCATGGCGCCCCCGCCCCCTTTTTCCCTTTGTTGCACATCCGCCCGAACCACTGGGAATGCTGCGGCGACCCCCCAGATCCTGCCAGGGGTCTGCGGGGGCTCCCCACGATAGAGTCAGGCCGCATTCACGCGGACACAGCAACCTCCCCGTGAACCCTGTGAAACTGGAAATCCGGACCCTCTCTTCTCCGCCCCGGACCTATATGGCCACCACCGCCAGGACCGCAGGCACTGGGGGCCGCGAGGCGGGTGTAAGTGCGGATGCCCGCCTCCGTGGTGTCCCCCCTCCCCCCGTGAGCCCTACCTGGATTCGAGGGTCCACCTCCTCTTCCTCCTCCAGCCCCTGTTCCATCCCCTCTTCCTCGTCCTCCTCCTCCAAGTCCCGGGCCGACGGCGGGAGCTCTGCCGGCTCCTCCGGGCGGTTCCGCTTCAGCGCCGCGTCCATAGGGGCAGTGAGAACGCTAACCGCGCGGGGGACTTCGGAGCGTCCGGAGGGGAGGCAGCCGCCGCGGGCTCGGTCAGAGCCGTCTCGCCCCAACCCGGCACAGTCCCGAGGCGCTGCTCGCGGATGCGGATCCTGCCGGCCCCGGCTAAGCGGAGGAAATGGGCGCGGCCGCCCCCTTTCTGCCGCGGCAGTCAGCGCAGCGGCGCCCGCTCCGCCCTCGCCCCGCCGGGCCGCCCTTGGCGCTGTGACTGTTCGCCGCCAGTCCCAGTCAGCCACCCAGGTCTCCGTCACAAAAACCCCTGAACACCTTCAAGGGGGTGAACCAGGAGAGCCGCCTCCCTTTGTCAACTTAGCAGCCAGATCACAGACTACCCACCGTTTGGCCCCCTGCTTTCGGGGTAGCTTTCTCTCTCCCTCCTGAACCAGAGCAAATTGTATGGAAGGAAAGTTTGGGGCATTTCCACTGTCTGAAGTCACCTTGAGAAGCTTGGACTCAGTGACCCTGAACCAGTTTCAAGATCCTCAAATCCCTGTATGCCTCCAAAGCACCCTTCTCCCCTTGGGTGAACCTTGGTAAATGGATCTACCTGAAGAGTTCCCCCAAAACAGGGAAGTGAAACATAGGCTCACACAGACCCAGAAGTACAAAGAGGGGAGCCGAGTGCAGCTTTGGGCCTGGAGCCCTTGGCCAGAGGCTAGGTGGTCCCTGCTGGGCAGAGCTCCATACCCAAATACCTACGCTCTCATAGCTGTGCCATGGTCCTACCTGAATAGCCAAGAAGCATGGACAATCCATTGGTGATCAGGGATGTGGTTGGGTGGGTACAGCCTTCCCCAGGCCAGAGTGGATGTAACCCCTGGTGGTGGGCAGGCTCTGTCCAAGGATTTCTGAACTGGCAAGGTTTCCTGCCCACCTTGAATAAGGAGGGACCAGAGTTTGCCTGGGAAACTCAACATCTGGAGGCCAAAGAAGGAAGGGGCAGGTCTGTGCTTTTGAGAAATATCAGGGCCACTGTGATGTCAAGCGAACACAAATTCAGATGACCTTAGCCAAGCAGGCAAGGACACTGCCACCGGCCATCGCTAATGTCTCCACTACAAAAATGCAGAATGTGTACACTTTCTACACAGGCTTGTGGCTCATCAACTGTGAGTTGGGAGAACAAACTCGCTTGAGGAAAAAGCTTTCTGAGAGCGTGTCTTGAAAGCCACCTTTGGGAAACCTGCCTACCCTGGCTTCATTAGAGGCTACATTGGTGGTGGGGGTGGGGGGGACGTGGGTTACTCCCCCGGCAAGGTACCCCCTTCCCATGCTGGCACTGTGGTCCACTGTGAAAGGAGATTCGTTCTGTCTCCTGGAGGTAACACAGGCACACACACTGAGTTTGGTTCAGAAATAGTCATCGTTCTTACAGTCAAGGGAGAGCCTGCAATTCTCTGAGCGAGGTCCTGAAACCCCTAGCTAAAAACCTAGCTGCGTTTGCTTTTTCACCAGTGTTTCCCCGGTTTGGACGAAACCTATAAGTGAGCAGGTTTATCCTAGCTGTGAATAAACTGAGATACAGAGGTCGAAAACAACAAGAGTGAGGTCAGCCCTGACTCTTAACTCACTTCTCAGTCAGTGGAACCCCACCCTCACCAATCTAAACCACAACCTCCCAATGAGCTTCCATTTCAGCGCAGATCTAAGAGCCGTTGAGTGGTTCAGAATGCCACCACGGACATGGGAAAACTGCTCTAAAACATCCATGTGGGCTTTTTTTGGTTATCGTATTTTTAGGAGACCTGGGCCAGGTATAGTGTTAATCCCAATAGTGTTCAGAAGTTAAAATAAGGGAAATAAATCACAGTACTACTCCCTGTATTTTTTTTTGGTTGGTACATAAATGCATAGGAACCGAAGCAGGGAATGAACTGAGGGTGACAAGGTGGAGGTCCTTGTGTGGTTACAGGGAGGGCCTCTTCGAGAAGGGGGCTTTGAGGCAAGACCTGAGAGAAACGAGAAAATGAACCCCATCTACCTTCATGGGGAGAGCGCTCCAGCCACCGAAGCCGCGTGTGTAGAGGTCCCCAGGTGAAACCGTGCCTCTGGTCCTGGAAAGCCAGGGACACGAAATCCGAGACCTGCAGGTGGGTAGACCTGGGAGGGCCATGACATGGTAAGGTGCTCGGGTTTTAGTGAGTGATATGGAGTGTGGGAAGTGGACTGGGGCCCCTGGGGAGCTGGGGGCAGAGGGACAGAAGGAGATGAGTTAGGCCAACGGTCTAGCAGTGGTAGAGGAGAGACGCCTCTGCTGGTTGTTCCCTTTCCCAGCGGAATGGCGGGCACAGTCAGCAGCTGAGAATAAGGGGGTGGGGGAAGGCTTGGAACAACACTGGATGCTGGAGGAGAGACACTGAAGGAGCTGGGAAGTCAGTTGACTGGGTGAATATCTTCTAATTTCCAGACTGCCCTGAGGACCCACCTGTGGTTTGGGATGCTCCTGGGTGGCCAGTCCATGGGGATGAGTGGCTTTTCCCACCCAAGCTCAGCTTCCAGACACAGGTGGAGAGTAGTGAGAACGCCACCCTTAACCAGGTTTGGGACTCTCTCACCAAGGTCTTCCGGTGGCAAGGGAGAAGCGTAAGGGGCTTGAGGGCGACTGCAGGTGTAACAACTTTTAATGATGGCCCATGGAATCAACACTGGAGAAGTGAGGGAGAGATTAAAATACCAGGGAGCGATGTTGCAGCCCTGAGTCAGGAGAGAAAGAGGGAATGAATTTAAGACTGTATGGAAGTTGGTGGCTAATAATATCTGGAGAGAGAAAACTTAAAGATGATTCCAGAGTTTCTAGTTTGAGTGATTGGATGACACCATTAATTAGGACCTATGCTATAGAGATTTTGGTTGGGAAGAAAATAAATTTGTGTTTTGGATGTGAAGGGGGAAACCCTAGAAGTTGAGCTATGTTACATTTGGAAATTGGGACCCAGGTTCTCCAAGGGTTGAACAAAATTCCCCGGAAGGTCTTTCTTGTTGCCTCAATATACCTCCTTGACTTAGCAAGTGTATTGTAGCTCCTCTGATCTTTGAGGATAAGGAAGGTTGTACTTCTCCTCCTCTGCCCCACTCCTTAAGCCTAAGGGTATCAGGTATTTACACAGAGATTTTTTTTTTAATGTTTTTTAAAGTGAAATTTGCAAGCCTCTGTGGCCAGCAACGTTAATTCAATGTTTTTGAGCATGTACCTCATGCAGACACTATTCCAGGTCCCAATCTGAAGGCCTCAAGCATACAAGACAGCAAAGTTATAGTGTCTTCTGATTTGGGGAGACACAGCCCCCACAAAAATTGTACCTCCAAATTGTGCAACTTTAGGAATTCCTCATTGAGAAGGCTCTTCCTGTCAAACTTGAGTGTCATCAAATGAAAATTCCCTGCAACACCAATTTTTTTAAAGATTATTTATGTGAGAGAGAGAGAGAGAGAGAGTGTGTGTGTGTGTGTGTGTGTGCACACGCGCGCACGCGCGTGCGCACACACAAGCGCAAGTCAGGGGAAGAGCAGAGGGAGACGGGGAGAGGGAATCTCAGCAGACTCCCCACTGAGCGCAGAGGCGGATGTGTGCATAGAGCACCACCTGGGCAGAAATCAAGAGTCCAGCGCTCAACCAACTGAGCCACCCACGGGTCCCCACCAATTTTTTAAGCCCACAAAATAGAAACTGCCTGTTAACTCCTATAAAAAAGAAAACTGCTCTTCTGAACTAAGAAGACCTGAATCTGCATTCCCATCACATTCTGGGAGCGGTGACTGAAGAAACTGACAACCAACATCTTCTCTTGGCCCACCTGTAATCTTTACACGCTGCCTTAGGTCAGAGATTGCAAACCGGGAGCTACTGTTTGGATCACCCTAGGGCATGTGTGGTCTGGCTGACACAGTGTTTTATAAATCTGAGCCTGCAGTTAAAACTCCAGCAATGCAATATGAAAATTCACACTTCCCTACATGGAGAGAGTCCTGAGGAGACATGAGGAGTGGGTGGCCTTTTAAAAAGGTCTTGCATGCTCGTGTCAACCTGAGTCCTACAGGCAGACTCTCTTCCACCAGCAGACTGCACACAGGTGAACCCCCACCTCTCTTCAGCACCCCAGTGGGAAGCTGGTTTCCTCTGCCTTTCTCCCACTCTCTCTTCTCTCCCCACAGACCGCAAAGGATTATGGCACATGGCAAGATGAAAGAGAATTTTATTATTTTTTTTTAAAGATTTATTTTATTTATTTATTTCACAGACAGAGATCACAAGTAGGCAGAGAGGCAGGCAGAGACAGAGAGAGGGGGAAGCAGGCTCCCTGCTGAGCAGAGAGCCCGATGTGGGGCTTGATCCCAGGACCCTGGGATCATGACCTGAGCCGAAGGCAGAGGCTTTAACCCACTGAGCCACCCAGGCGCCCTGGAAGAGAATTTTAAAGGAGACTTCCAAACTCTTCAGCCCTACTTTTTGGCCCCAGATGACTGGTTGTCAGAAGATAAGAAGCTACAGAAGCCAGTTCTTGGAAAGAGATCAGGGCCTCCGCATTAGCAAGGCATCTGTTTCATTCCATGATTCAGTGACATCAGTGTGTTGCCAAATTGTCTTGCACTGTGGCCACACCCCTCTAATGAGAACCTTTATTTGTGTCCTGAACTGAATTACACTGAAGCCTCTTCGCCCAGATGAATTACAGGCCAGAGTACTTACAGAATCCACAAAAGAGATTTTCAATGTTTATCTGTGATCTTAGGGGACCTGCAGATATTAAAATGGTGCTGGAATCCTGGAGATAGAAAAAAGTGTTCCATTAGAAAGAAGAAAGGGGGTGCCTGGGTGGCTCCGTGGGTTAAGCCTCTGCCTTCTGCTCAGGTCATGATCCCAGGGTCCTGGGATCGAGCCCCGCATCAGGATCTCTGCTCGGCGGGAAGCCTGCTTCCCTTCCCCTCTCTCTCTGCCTGCCTCTCTGCCTACTTGTGATCTCT